TATATCATTTTGCCTCTTTATGTGGTACAGAAATAATAACTTTAGCTATGTTTTTAAAAAAAATAAAATTAAGTTCCTTTATAAAGTAAGCTGACTCATCTAGTTTCCTATTTTTAAGATGGCAACATTTGCATTTAAATTTCTGCAATAAAAACAATGTAACAAAGACCTGCCTCCTCGGTTGTATCGTAATGGAATAATTACTTCTATAAAGATAAAAATATAAATAAAAAGGCAATTACTTTTAATTGCTTTAAAAATATTAAATAACTCAGAAAAAGCAAGCCAGCCAAAATTTTATCAATGTCTAACTATGATAAAAATGCAATTGAAACTAAATGAAAAAAAAAAAAAAAATTAATGACTTATGAGATGTCTAATCCTTTTACAGGGGTCCTACATATTTCTGCACACAGAAATTAAGTCAATTAAAAACATCTATGCTTGAACTTCACTTTTGTAATATGATCCTAAAAATAGATTCGTAAGTAGCATGCATTATTATTAATAAGTTTGAGAATAAAATAAACTTTTTGAAATTTATCAGGTAGCATTAAATATTTTACACTTATAATAATTAGACATACTTGAAAGAAGATATGCAGCATTTTATTTACATTTTTCTAACAGTTATATTTATGTTGATTTTTATTTTTATGTCTCATACTTGCTCAGTCTAGAGGTTTAGTAAATAGTAGGTAGATTTTATGTCAAGCGGCATAGGTTAAAATGAGAAGTAAAACCATAATGAGCATGATTCATAACAAAAGACTGGCTGTTGTCATTGCTTCTGCTTACCTAGAGAGAGACCTGCTCTTCAGAACAAACCTGAAAGGCCTGATGTAGGCAAGTTTTGAAAGTTAAATGTCTGATGCAGCGTTTTAGCTCTGTGTAGAGTTCCAGGGGTTGTAACCCAGTTAATAAACTTTAAGGTTTCAATAAGCCACTAAAGCACCAGAGGTTGATAAGTTATTTCATATTATTTTAAGTCTCACTAGATGCAAAGAATGAGTTTTACAAGAATTTTTACATTTTTGTGTTTTATTTTGGCATCACGATAAGGATTAATGAGAGGCAATAACTCGCTTTAACATGCAGTAACCTTTAAGGGTAAGCAGTTAATTATAAATAATTAAATTAGGTAGTTGGATAACCTTATTCATTATGGGTTTACATGGTCACTATTAAATTTTATTTATTTTTTAACAATATTTGTTAAAACAGTCTTATTATAATCACAATCTAATAAAATTTCACAGTTTAAAATACATGCAATTTATGACATTGATTATTAAACGATATTAGAATAATTACACATTAACAACGAAACAATAAAATATTTATACAACTTTTTAATTTGAAGCCTTCCTATGCATTTTGGCTAGTTTATATCGATTTCCTTCTCTTTAGGCATCTTTTCTAAAAATCAGAAAATTGTCTCATTACGCAAACCAATGTTTTCATTCTCTGCATGTTTCATTATTAAGTTTTTATTGTTCTTCAAAAAGTAAGAAATTCATCTCAAACTTTCTGTAAAATACATCCATTATGTGTTAATACTATGGAGACATTTTTCATTTTGTCACATTTTCTAAATTCTTCTAGAATCATGGTTCTATAAATCTTGACTTCAAATCCTTCTAAACTTTCTAAGCTGCAATGTCTAAAATCCTGAAGAAAGATTACTCCTACCAATTCTGCTACAGTAAAAAGCCAGAAATATTTTTGGAAAAAAAAAAAAAAAATCAGAGGGGGGAAAGTGTTTAGGGAAAAGTGAATTAATTTTGTAGATAAAAGTGGTGCATATTCTGACAAAAACTCTTTACCATGAAGAGACATTTTTAATTAATTATATAGCTATTTTGCTTTTGCTAAGAACTGTTCCGTAAATTGTGCTTTATAGCATTATACCTCTTTTTTTTTTTAATTCAAAATATTGTATAATAAGTGGCCAAAATGGAACTTTATAATAATATGAGAGCGAAAATTAAAAATGTTTTATTTTAATGTTATTTTTTAAATATATTTTCAATATATTACCATTATTTTAATGAAATTAATCAATGTTACAATGTTTTAAAAAAATCATCGAAAAATTCCCACATCTCAGAATTAAAGTTTTCTATAGAAACTAGTCTTAAAATCGCCAAATTTATAACTTTTTAATAAAAGAATTCACATCACTAAAAGTGAAAATTTGTTTAAGAGCTCTTCATGAGAAAAAATGAAATAATTTTGAAATGCTTATATTGCACTTCTTTCACTATGAAACTTGAGTATCCCAGCATCTATATTAGAAATGAACAAATTATAACCCATGAATCCATTCAAAAGATAACCATTTGAACAATACTCCTCCAAAATGCTAATTTACAATCAAAATAGCAGTCGTAAAAACAAACAGAAATTTCAGATGATTAAAATTAAGGGGCTTCTGCCGATTTTGGCTGAAATTAAGGACTTTTAAAAACCAAAAATCGATTCCAAAAAAACCTAAGGACTCTTAAAGACTGTGCAAACCCTGTTTCATTGGATATCTTAAGGCTATAAAATAATGATTTAATGAAGTAAAGTCTATGAATAAAATGCTAGGTGCTAAAATTTGCCCCCTCTCCACAGCTAAAGTGAGAGCATTACTAAAAATTTCTGAAATACATAGTCATCGTGGTCCAAGTTTGAGAAATGAATCCAGCAAATTGGGCTTTTAGACGCTGTTTAGGTGACACTTTTCAGTAAACATATTGGAAATTTAAAATTTGTACATTGTTCCTTCTTATTCTTTGTCCTAGGTATTCCCAAACTTTTTTTTAAACGTAAAACACATTTAACTGAATATCCGATTATTGTAGCACAGTGGCTTAAATTTTTAATCATTATTAATATGCCACAAAAAATTTTGTTTCCGCTAAATGAATGTCCTGGCAAAATCGAAAATGTTGCCACTTCATTTGTGTTGCAAGTCATGTGTGCATCTAATAATAATAATAAAGAACTGATATGTCTCGGATAATTAAATTTTTCTCTGCGCTTCCTCAAGAAGGCCCTTTATGGTTTCAGTAGGCATGGATTGTATACCCAGATTGGATTTATAATTAAGATATTTGTGGGCAAGGTCCAACTATGACAAATGGTTAAGATTATTGAGTATTAGAAGTTCAGATCTAGGCTAATCAACATGTGTAGCATGAATATAATCCAGTTTTCCTTGGAAAGTCCTCACTTCCTTAGACAGATAGCACTCGTACTTTTTATTATCCAAATAACCTAACCTCTTCCTTAGGTTCTCCTTGGTCGAGTTGAGGCCAGCAAAATCTTTGGACCAGTGATTTATATTTTTTTATTGAATGCTCTCTGCTCTCTCCTGCTTAATGTGAAATTGAGCCTAGGGGCCAATGCTTAATACCAAGTCTATAGCAGCAGGAGTGAATGCATAAATAGTTGTTTTCCCTTGCTAAAAAGAACTTACTTCTGAGCTTCGTCACATTCCTGTTCAATGAGAGCTTGCAATTTTTAAGCGATAACATAATGGTACGTTTATTTGCTAATTACTCTGCTAGTTATCTTTATGCAGAGATGCATTTTTTATATTTATGTCAGAATCAGAAAGTCCAATAAATTTAACTTTATATTTAGCATTGTGTTTATGTGTTATTCAGATGTGGTTTATAATGCAAGACATCGTGAAAGACATTTTTCAATTCATGTGTAAATATTTTGTGGGACATTATCAGTATGCAAAGCATTGCTGTAATTTTTTGTTTTCTTTAAACTGAAATAAAAATTTGCAACTTATTGAAAATTTTGGAAACGATGAAAATTTAGTGTCTCATATCATGATAAAGTAATCATGTAAGTAAATTAGATATGATAATCTCATATCTAATTTACTTACATTAAAAACTAAATCTATATTTATCTTATAATAAGTTTCACCACAATAATGCATTCTTCAGGCTCACTAACAACCATCTTCCTATACATTTATTTGTTTTATTTCTATTATTTTACTTGAAATATCTATATTCATATTAAAATACAAAAAATTATTTCAATTATCAAAAATTTTAGAGCCAAATTATGTATATTATTCATAATCATTATGCATGTGGATGTAATTATTTTTACCATCAAATTTTAAATCAGACAAGTATTTTGTTTTCAGTTTTCATTATAATTTTAATACTTGTCACATCAAATATTAAAAGAAATTCCATTACCTAATAATTGTTTGAATTTCCCTATATAACACTTCAGTTTGAATATTAACTGTAGTTTTTACTTCATATTTAGTTTATTAGATTATGGCAAAGCACTCGAGGGCTATCTGCCTTAAGGGAGGGATGCCTTCGTGGAGGACTTTCTAAGATAAACTGGCTCAGATACACGTTACACATGGGGAAAACCACGAAAATGCCCATGCAGCCAGCCCGTTCGCGGGATTCGAACCTCGGACTGCACTACCAGTGTTCAGCGACGTTAGCTCGGCCGCTGGTGGGCCTCTTCATATTTAGTTTATATCGTATTGTCATTCTTTCCATTTACAATTTTTCTTTTATCTTTTAATCTGAGCATTTATCTGAATACTTTTAATCTGAATGTATTACATATAAAATGGCAAACGTAATAAAAAAGCCATAAAAATTAAATACAAATACAGTTTATATACAAACTTTACATAGTATTCCTGTATTTATCCATATACAGAAAAAGATGTTAAGCTATTTGATTTGCATGAAATTTGTGATTAAGTGTTAATCATTACTTTATAGCAAATATTATTTAAGCACCAAAATGTGCTTTATTCTATGCAATGCTAATGTAAGAATTTAGTAATTTTATCCATTTAGATTTTCCAAACTAATTTTTATCATTATATTATGTTACACCAGAAGTTAATACACTTCAATTTAAATAGTCATTAACTTTCTTTATATATCAATTTTTTTTCCAGATATTGCTGAAACACACAATAATTCAAAGCAAATAACAAAATTCAGTACTTTTGAAGTGATTCACACTGAAAACATTTTAATTTTTAACTTCATTACTTAATTTTTATCCCCCCCCTTGAAAACAGGCAATATTATGCATTTAAATTCTAACGTACAGACTAAAATACAATTAATGGTTTTCAATGTTATGAATACACAAAATAAATATAATGAGTAATTTAATATGATTAACTGCAAAAGGATCTGAATATGTATTCGGCAAGTGCAATAACACAATCGGTAGCAGATGAAGATCAATGCAAATTTCTCTCATGCCTTACTTTATTCTTAATTATTGTACTTTTCATGTGTAATGAAATTGTTCTAAATGTTCCCTAACAAATCTAACACATACATAAATAAAAGCACATTTTCCATTTTGATTAAATGGAAAATTTTATTTAATTTTTTTCAACACAATTGATTCAAACTGACTTAGGTCACTTTGTTTCAACATTTCACAATTAAAACAAAATTTAAAATAAAACTTGTTTACAGTTAAGAAATCTAATTCTTAACTGACAACCTATTGCTCTAGTACACTTTTCTCATCCATTGTTATCATTTCACAATTACTTATAGCAAATACATTCAATTCAGTACAAAAAATTTATTTACTATTAGATACCACAGGGTGGTCAATAAGAAAGTTTATGTATTTCTACTCCATATTCACATTAAAAGAGTTAAAGAGTTCCAAGAACCTGACTACTGCGATGTTTAGTTGACAAACTTCTTTTTGAATAAACTAATAGAATTTTTTAATATAATTGGCAACAATATTACAGTTTTATATAGTATCTTCTCTAAGACACTAATAATTATGTAAATGTTTTGCCAATAAACTATTCTACACAAAGCTTTATCATTTTAAAACCATATCTAGTTAGTATCGCAGAGCAAATGATATGCAATACAGAACCCTCCTTAAAAATTTCAAAACTTTTCTTTTTCACCACCATGTAACAGGTTAGGAAAAATGTACTGAAACTTTCCTTTATGTTTACAGTACTGTTACAAGATATCTATGCAATATTTTGATATTTCATTAAGTAACACATCATTAGATATGTAGAATTTGTAAAAGCTGCCTATACAGAGACATATATACATTATAATAAAGACATTAATTTCATCTTACATAAGAAAAACACTCTTTACATTTAGTTTATCAACATACATGTAGACAAAAAACACTGAAATTGTTAATTCTCGACAAAAACATTGTATCAAAATGCTCATCATAAAGCAGATGTAGCAAACTGGTTTGATGCACAAATTATAAATGATGTACTGTCAGATATATTCAATAATTTATACAAAAAGAATGCAATTCATTTAAATGCCATACTAATTTAAATTAAACAGACCAGTCTTTAAATACAAGCCAATTTCTGCATTTTAACATAGTCTAGTATTTAAAGGAATACATATAGAGCTATCATGATAAGCTTTAAATATACAAAATTTAATGATTTTTGCAGTCTGAATCATATAAAATTTAATATTTTGGGGATATTTTCTATTTTTATATTGGATTTTTAAATATATAAAAAAGATCTGCATTAAGTACAGAAGAATTAACAAACATCAGATACTTAAAATATTTATTTAAATAAGCAATATTTATATTATAGAACTCCATTACGTAAAACAACATTCATTCTTAATTGTAAAAGAAATTGAGATACACATGTACAAGAAAAGATCATATGGCAATGGATTATTTGAGGTCTGTGTGAAAGCTTATCTAAAAAACAAGAAATACATTAGTAAAAGTAACATTAATACTGAAAAATATTGTAACTCATGCATGCACAATATGTAAATGATGTGCGCATAACCTAAAACTACGTAAATGAGAAATACAACAGCTTTTTAAAATGTTTTATCATTGCTATACATTGTAATGGGTGGAAATATGCTGTTCTTCCCAAGTCTAAAACATACAAAAACAGTATTTATTCCATTAATTAAGAATTAATATATTTATTAATTTTTTGACATCAGAAATTATATGCAAATATGGGATATGTTTTAAGCATTAAAGGAAAGGCCAAAATACTTCATAATTTTACATGATTTGCATTTAAGTAATTGTTTTATTTAAAACTACTGTTATACCTCATTAAAAAAAGGAAAAAAGAAAAATTTAAAAAAAAAGAGAGGTTCACAAGAAAAAAAAATTATCTTTGTTTTCAGGTATCCAATGAAAATGCTCGAATATTTTAAAATATTGAATATTCTCAGGAATTTAACCTTCTGAATTGTTTTTGAATCTGCTTTTATGAAGACCTATATTGTAACTGCATTCAGTAGCTAACTTGGTATAATTACTTATTTTAGTTTCTGTTTTCATACACTTTGGTTCATTAAGATTATATTTATATCAAAGGAGGTATGGAAGCAAAATATGTTAAACTGGAACCTAATATATGCCAAATGACAAAAAAAATCTTATGACAAAATGAAGGGGGTCATGTCTCTCAAGGTGTTAAATCACACAATTTTATTATTATTTTAGTCTTTGTTTTCATGCACTTCTGTTCATTAAGATTATATCAAAGAAAGTATGAAAGCAAAATATTTTAAACTGGAACCTAATATACGTCAAATGACAAAAAAAATCTTATGACAGGATGAAGGCAGTCATGCTGCTCAGGGTATTAAATCATGCAACTATACCAAATTTAAATTTCGAAAATAGGTTTTTAAAATATTTTAATTCAGCCAAAATTCATTATTCAAGAAAGATTAAATATATAATCTGAAGCAAAAATTTACATTTTTTGACAGAAAATTTAAGATATTCATGTTTTAAATTTTCAGTAAAAGTAACAGAAAAATAAGAGAATAAGTGAAAATAACCCAATTCCAATTAAAATTAATATATTCTAAATATATATAAATGCATATCCTAGCTGCCAACTCTCCCAGTTTTTAATTTTTAGCCTGATGAAAATAATTTTTAACAATAAAATTAAATTGTGGAAATGAATTAAAAACGGGCTTATAAAATTTGCACATTTTAAGTTTCATTTTCCACCCCTAGTGATCTTCTCCATAATTTTTCTCACTATGTTTTATTTGATCTGAACTGTCTTAATCCACTATCCATTGTAGACTTTTATAGAAATTTTTATGAAAATAAAACCAATTTTTATTCAGCTATTATGTAGTTAATTTTGTTTTACATTAAGATATATTAATAAATTTATCTATACAATTGTACATATATTAGTTATTAGTTTTTTGGTTTGTTTGTTAAAAGTATTTTGATAAATTAAAAGTTTTCCTTCTCTTACTTAGAATTTTCTCAATATAAAAGTGCCCAAAAAATTGCATTAAAATTAGCCTAAGAAAATAAAATTTAGAATGTGTAATTAAATATTAATATATTTTACATCAGAATCATATAATAAGTACTTCAATAAAATTGAATGTATTGAAATATCGGTTTCTAATAAAAACTGAGTTATTTTAAAGTAGTGCCATAACACAGTACAAAATCCTTCACGAAACTCCTAATTTTAGCGCAATAACCTCCCTAGTTTTCATATTTCAAGGTTAGTAGCTATGGTATATTGTAGAACATAATTCCTTTTGAGAAAAAATCCCTATTTTTGAATCATATTTTCTATGCATTAAAGGATTTGTATTATAATGTGTGATCAACGGAGGCTTCGGATAAATTACACCAATGGTATAAAACACATTAAATGACACAATTAAAAAATAAAACGATAATGCAATGAATTTTATTGATCTGCTTTAAAAAATATTCTGTTTCATGAAAAAAGTTTTCTTTGTTTCAAGATGATAATAAAACACTACAATGAATGTAACCTATATCACATGGGTGGCCAAACTTCATGTAAAGTAAGAGTTGTGTGTTGGAATTTAGGAAAATTTGATTAAGCAAAAGATTATGTGACTACGCAACTAGATTATGCAAAAGCCATAAGTACTTATTTGCATCATTTTAAAAGTAGTGAAGATTTCATACGGAAAGAAACATCTGAACAATCATTCAATGACAGTTTGCTTTCAGCTTGTAATAATATATTGAAAACAACATGAAATGAAGTGTTATGGTGTTTTTGTTTTCCGTAATTACAGCTTGATGCAATAAAAAGTACTCTTATTCAGTTTTTAAATACTTCAATTCTTCTGTGATATATTCTTGTAAATGATGATCTATGATAGCTTTGTAATGCTCAAGAAACTTCGGATTCTTGTTAAATCTGCACCACAGCAACTCAAATCATTTTTTTGTTACCGCAAAATTATTCCGTAATTTTCCTGTATGTTCATTTTTCAGCAAGCAAGCCGTACATCTGTTGCCCTCACATTTTACAGATTTTTTAAAATTTTCTAAATGTAACATTAGCTTTTATGCTGTAGAAATTCCTAAAGTTCCCAATTGCCATTAATTTTTTGTCAATTCGGATCTCAAATCAACAAACAAATTATTTTTATCATGTAACAAATCCTGTATGATAAATTTTTCTGATGCGTTTTCTGTTCTGCTAACAGACCACCCTATTTTGTTTCTGCTGTTACTAATGATTCAGAAAGTTGGCAGATCCTTCCTGTGAAACATTCAAAAGTATCAATCCATTCATTCGTAAAGCATTCAACAGCATATCTAACTTTTAAAGGTTTTTCTTTACATAATACCTTTTTTAGTAAAAATTAAAAAAATAATTGCTTTTTATAAACATTAATAAGTTTCTTAACTAACAAGAAATGAGACAAAATAATTATGCTTGGACATTGATCAGATTAAGTTTACTAACTTTATAAAAAATTTAATTAATTACATTCTTTTGGACATTGAGTAGTCTTCATTACCATATTTCATACATATATTTTATTTGCATATGAACCACACTATGGCTACTCCTGCTATATTGTAATGTGTGTAATTTAACATTAGTTTACATTACAACCCTGCTATATTGAAATGTGCATAACATTAATTTACATTAAAGAAAGAATCATTAATGTTTTTTTTGATTCAGTAATATAATATTATGTTTAAAACTTTCTTACAGTAAAAGGAAAATAAAAAGATAGAATTATCCAATTCTACCATTGTTAAAGCTTTCTGCTCTGTAATAACATGGTTTTAATGAATAAAATCAGTATTCCGTATTTAGATTGAATCTAAATATTGGGTTCCAATTAATTTTAAATAATGATGGAATATTTAAATTATTTTTACTTAGAATTAATCTATGATGAGAGTTTAATAAAATAAAATGCTCTTTCACAGAAATTTCTAAAAATTCAGTAGACTAGATATTAAATGTGTAGGCTATGTTTAAGTAACTTTCCTTTTGAATGCTTTTTAGCAAACAAATTAATAAAAGGAAAGACTCATTTTGTTGTTACGAGCTTTAATGGCTAATCATTTTTATGTCAGCATTAAATTGGATAGTTTTATTTTAAACATTCACAAATATACAGAGTCCTGCTTAGTAGTAGTGATTAAAATATTATAATATGGCCTATGGATGCAGTGAAACCTTCCCAAGAAAGCATTCATTCTTCCAGATGATTCTGGCCATGTGTGAACATGGTCACTTTAAAGAACATGACTATCACTGATGTTTATTTTTGTTCTTAAAAATGCAGATTGCCATGAGTTCTGTTATATATATGAAATAGTTTTATATATTTTTAAAATTTTCATTTTAGAAACATATATTTGTATAAAAGCTCTCTCACTGTTATGCAATATTTGTAGGAAACCTATTCTAAAAAAATTTAGAATTAAATAATCTACATTTTTGGTCATATTAATAAAGATGATATGAATATAATTTTCACAATCAATAAATGAAGCATGTTTGTGAATTAAAGCTTAATTAATAAATAAATGAAGCATATTTGGGCTATTAAAAGTTTCTTTATACATTCTTTAAAGAATCTTTATTGAAAGAATTATCTTTTATCTGGAGCTCAAATACCATATGAGTGATATGGGAACTTTCCTGGAAACTTCACATTCTGAATTCCTGAGTATCTTTGTTATAAAGTTTTAACATATTTAAAACTAATTCCAAATTTAAATGTGGAGTACAAGTAGTGAGGATCAAGAGTATTGTTTTTGGAACCTTAGTAGTAGTAAGAATATTTCACAGAATCATCTTAAAATAATTTTAGGCAATCATTTAATGGCAGGCCTTTTTCATTGATCTTTCATTAATGTATTTATAACATTACTAAACATTTTTGCACACTGGTAACTTTTGTGTCATCCAGTGGCCATGTTATATTTAAATATCTATACTGTTTTAATATAATTGTTCAACTAGAATCTAATATTGCAATGATCTGTCAATTATGATGTGGTAAACACTCCGAGTTTTACAATATATATATTAAGGAAACATTAATTAAAAAAAAAAAAAGACTGTGACCAGGAGTAACTGAAGCTAATTAAAATATATTTGATGCAAAATGAAATTAAATTATGATAATATAATATATGGCTACCATCTATCATACCGACAAATCAGCCATCATGAGTAGGCACAACTTCTGCATTGCTCCAAAGCTAACAACACTGTAACAATCTGATATTGAATTTTATACAGAAAATGCTTTTCATAAAATAGTAAAAAATTATTCTTTTCTATAGTAGTAATACATAACACGCACGACAAAATACAAAACTTTCGTTGTATAACATAAATACATTTCAACATTCAAGAAGAAAGGAAAATTTTGCAGTTGACTTTCAGCTACTGTTCTTGCAAACAAATATTACTTCATGCATAAAATTCAGTATGAAATTGTAGGCTGTGCTCAAAAAGCTCTTTTTCATAGCAAGAGAGAAGAGCAGGCATTGAACAAACATGAAGTAGACAAACATCAAAGTAGAGTACACATGAGTAGTCTTTCTTTGGCAGGTGAAGGCACAAATATGCCTCCTCTGCAAGCTTTAAAAGTCCTATGGTGGCACAGGTGGCAAATAAGGTGGTGGTTGCCTGTATGTTGGCGTGCATTTTGGTCGAGAGTTCTTGCTGTCCCTGTTTGTAGTAAAAGGAGGAGGAGGTTGATATGGAGGTGAGGGATCAGTGTGCAGATCTGCATTTGTGTTTCTTATATTGGCTTGTTCCACACGGTCCAGCTGAGGTGTGGAATCTCTACTGCTTGCAGATGAACGTAAATAATCAGGAGGAGCAAGTGGTGGTTTCTCTTCTCTCATAATGACTGGAGGCTTTGCAGGATCAGGCTTTTCCTCCATCTCATCGCCAAATATAACTGGTGCTCGATTACCTATAAATGTATTATTATCTTGCATGGTCATCTTTCCTTTCCTCTTTTTGCGATACAGAAAGCATGCCACAAGAGCAGCAATGATAAGCATAACTGCTATAACTACTGCTGGAATTATTGTGGTGATATAAATATCATCATCTGTCGATGCAGCAGGCTCAGTCTTCTGTGTAACAGGCGGTGGAGCTATAGTTACAGATGTAGGAGTTACTTCTCCTAAGCATATACCCAATGGCATAGCATCTGCTTTAATTATTTTGAAATCTGGAAGCATTGCTTCTGTTAATTTTGATGACAAAGTACCATCTTTATTTATCATATTCTTAACTAATTTATCTATAGTTTTCTTTGGACAAGGATCATGAGGTAGAGTATTATTTGTCCATGCATAAACAACAGAACCTTTGCTGATAGATCCAACTGTTATGTAGCGAGGATCAGGATCATCATATAATTTTGCAAGCTTCCATGCTACCAAAACTTTTTTACTGATATCTTTGCTAAATTCTTCATAATCATGATCAATATGAAGACTAAACTCAACATTCCACTTTTTAGGTGGTCGAGGATGAACTTCAATAACAAAAACATCATTGATATGGAGTCCATTGCTATCCATTGCAACCAACTGAAATTCATGCCTACCAGCATCACCATCAAATGGTAAACCATATAGTTCTTGAGACTTGTGATCAAATTGGACCCAAGATGATTTTGGAGGACGTACACTTTCAATAGTTAAGAAAGTAAGGGTAAGATATCTAGTGCTTCCATCTTCAAAATCATAAAAGGTATCATCAGGAATTTTAAAGCGTAAAATCTCACCTACAGTAGTATTGATTCTTTCAATTGGATTACGAAGCATAGGAGCAAAATTTGAATCAGTAAGTGAGGTTGTAGAAGCTGGACTGCGGCAAACTCCTAGGAAATTTACACTTGCATCTAATATTTTAAAATCAGAGCTCATTATTTTCTTAAAAGCTTTTGATACTTCATTGGTATTTTCATCAATCAGTTTATTTGTAAGTTCAGATATTTCTTCATTTGGGCAAGGATATGTAGGAAGGGAATCATTAGACCAAGTAAAAGTTGTAACTGGTTCAGTGATAACAGACTGAACAGCAACATAACTTTCATTTTTATCACCATAATAATGAGAAAGTCGTTTAAGAAATTCGATATTCCAATCAATTGTTATTGGATACTGCCATTTGTTATATTTCAGTGTAACAGAAAACTCGTGATGTCTAGCTCGAGCCGATTGATGTTGCCACACATGTATGTCAAGACGATCATTAGTTGATGCTCCTTCGTTATCCATAGCTTCTAGAATAAATTCATATTTTCCAATGTGTTCATCTAAAGGTAAAGCATACAGCATTTGCTTTTCAGGATCAAACTGAATCCATGAAGTTGGTGGTATTGAAGTGCGTTCAGATGTCATAAAAAGAAGTTTCAAATTCCTGGTATCACCATCTTCCATGTCAACGAATGTGTCATGAGGTATCTGGAATCTCCACACTTTACCAGCAACCATAGTTAATTTCTTAACACGTCTTTCAATTGTTGGTTTGAAGTTCCGTGTTCCGGGAGGCTTTTTCGTTTTTTCAACAACTGTCTGACTTCTAGTTGGTTTTATTTCAGAACTTATTACATCAACAGATGATATGTAAGTCTCAGTTGGAAGAGACTCTGTCATTCCTGTGACAGGAGTTGCAATGATCATAGATGACATAAGACCTCCTAATGGTGTATATTCTTCAGGAATGTACCGGCCAGAAAATGATTCATCAATTATAGGAGTGACTGGAATGTATTTAGTAGGTCTGTCAGGAACTATCACAGGAGTAGCTCCTAATGATGTGATGTAAGCTGTATGCATATGATGATGATGCAATGTTGGAGATGTAACATACTGGGGTGACTCTGGAAGTCTGTGTTGGCCCTTGTGATCTTGACCATAATTTCCATGTCCATGCCTATGATGATGTGATGATTGCATCAAAGTTGGTGAAGCCATAGTGGGTATAATTCTAGTTTCTGGAGTTAAACTGTCATCAGTCATTTCAAACTCATCAACTCTTTCAGTGAAATGAGGCCACTGAGTTGGCATAATTCCAGGTACAGGTGTTCCTCGTCCCAGTTGTCGCTTTTCTCTATGACTTATTTTTGGAAAAACATTAGTAATATGCCAGCCAATTATGGGGTATCCAAGAGCATTAGCCAAACTTCCATCTTCTGCAGATCTTTCGAGTTTTGAAATCATAACCTTCTGATCAGTTGAAATGGGCTGTGAACAACCAACTTTCCATTCTGCAACACCACCGCTCTGTGTTTGAGTTTTGGCATTACCTGGGCCTGCGAAGATTGCAGATGTATCTAAACTATTTATTTCAGATTTGGGAGACAATTTAAATTTCTTTGATGGAATATTGAGGAAAGATGATAATTTTTTCAAAATATTAATTCGATCTGATACATTTAAGTCTTGCAAATTCACATCAAGAATCAAATTTGCAACTGTTTGGCTTTCGCCACTCAAACATAATCCAGAAAAACCATCTCCCTCATTCAATCTTGTTCCAGATGAATCATCAAGAACTTCAATAGAAAAGACATCTTTTGCAGGAGGAGCTTTATCTGTAACATAAAAATTCAGACAAAAAATTACTAGAAATTAAATATGATCAATATATGTTTTATAACAATACAGTACACATAAGTTCTATAAATAAGTTTTATATTTTGACTTTTAGCTTTATGACTAAATAAAAATATTTGTGAATTTCTTCCACTCATTAGATAGTTCAATGCAAAAAGTAATATGTTTTACAATATTCAGAAAGAAGATATTTTCAAACAGCAATTTTATGAAATATATTCCAATTATTTGAAGATTTAACATAAAATAAAATATTCATAATTATTGAGGAAGACTACATTTATCACAGATTTTAACTTTATTGATCATCCTTTAATCTCCATATTAAATGCAGAAATCTTTGACAGAAAACAGTTTACCTGAAAATAATTAATTTGCTGAGTACTAGTCTAGGTAGAGGACTGTAAATAATTTCTAAATTTGTAGGCAGTATGGACCGTAGATACACAGCTAGTCATCCAAAATGCAACATGAAAGGCAAGATGTCAATGCTAAATACATTTCAAAAATTTCACATTGTATCAATGTTAACTGATTTCAGATACAACCTTCTTTGACATGAGGAAGACAAAAAGCTCAATAATGAATACTGCCTTCATGTTCGTCAATAACCACTGCTACATGCTGCGGCATTGAGCAAAAGTGGCTTTGGATGTGCTGCTGGTGAATGGCAACTTATGCTGCCTCTAACACATTGCCAAATTCCATTTGGTATACCTGTGGACGCGGCATGTCAGGCTAGGCTTTCTCTAATCATTAACCAGACATTTTCAGTGGGCAAACAGATCTGCAGAATAGACAGGCCAGGGTAACAGTGCAATATCATGGGCTAAGAAGAAAGCTTAAACATTGTGTGCAACATGCAGTCATACACTGTCCTGTAAAAATATAGCTGCAGGCAAGCCTAAAGGTAAGGGAGGAGAACAGGTTGCAAAACCTCAGAGATATAGCACTGCTAAGTGTATTAACAATGTGGTACAGGTTAATGTACTAGGAGGTACAGGTGTAGTGGAATCCAATATCACCTCACATCATAACACTGGTTGCAGGACTAGTATGAAGATGCATAAACACAGCAGTTGAGCAGCATGTCTCCACTATATCTCCAAACTCTAATCCGGCCACTGTGTACTGTAGGCAGAAGTGTGATTCATCCAAAAACACAATGTCATTTATATTCCATCTCTGCCATTCAACTGCAAATGCAAACACCTATGGTTTAAAAGTAAGTGAAGAAATGGATGTCTAGCAGACAATTCACTGTATTGGCAACACTGAATTGTAAACAACACTGAATTATTTATGCAGACACCGATTGTTATGTTACAGACTTCATTCATTGTGATACGGTTGCAGATGAGGCAGCATACTCCATCAGTGCCATGCACACAATATGCCTGTCTTGCCTTGGAATGGTGCAATGAGATGGTTGCTCTTGTCTGTCGGTCATGCCATCCTCACCCTCCTATTTCATATTTGCACAATTGTTGCTTGGCTACATCTGACACAATCATTGATTTTCTGAAGAGATAATCTACAATCACTGTATGGAATGATTCTGCCATGGTCGAACTCAGAAACATGCTCGAATGATGCTCATGTTCTTTTACGAGGTATACTGAAGTTGCATACACAGAAAATCTCAAGACAGAACAACCCACTCCGAATTCTGATTCAAAGTGGGAATCTTTCCTGCATTCATGTGTGTATGCACTGAAATCGTAATCATTTGCATATTACATCGCAGTATACATGATGCATGTTTTATGCAGTTTAGATTCTCCCTATATGGTGTTACATTTTGGATGGCCAACGGTTTAATTTCTAGGAAGTCAATATGCTATCTTTCTCTCCTTTCTCAATTTGGGGACATTTGTAAAATCATTAAAAGAAAATTTTTCAATAATTAGGTGGAAAATAATAAAAGTAACAATTTAAATAATTGGGAATTTAAGTAATCAACATTTTATTGGTTTTTTTTTTTTTTTCTTATTTACTCAAACCAAAGAACACAGAATAAAGAAATACATACTGTTTGAATATCCAATAGCTTTCACACTTATGTAATATTGCCCAATGTCTTTATCTAAAGGAACCCCAGTAAAAGTTTGAGAACCTTCATCATACAACAGCCAGGATGGCAGCGTGGTTTCTCCTGCTTCTGTAACCTAGCAGGGAAAAAAAAAAGCAATTAAAATTAAGAAATAAAAGTGATTTTAAAAAATATTAACTTTCACCTATAATACATGGGAAGTAGAAAGAAGCAAATTAATGGAAAACATAACAAAAATATTGGATCTGCAGTAGCACTTCTTAAAAAATAATTTTGATGAGTACTGCACAACAGAAAATTAAGTTCTTTACTTGAGTTTACAAACTGCAACTAACTAATGTTAGTTGCCATTACATTAGATATTATTTCTGTGTTCTAAACATACATTACTCTTACCACAAAAATTTGCATTACATAACACACCGAATGCAAATTAAAAAAAAAAAATTTCCTCTTAAGTATTGTTTTCAAATCAATAATTTAATATTATTTTTGATTTATTACATTTTAATAATGTACCTCTGATAGTGTTTTCACAGATATATTGCATCTTGTACTCTCTCTCTCTCAGATATGGCTCTGCTAATAAAATAATGATAGAATTATTTTAGATATAACCTCACATTTCAGATTTAACCACAGTTCTTTTCTGAAAAGTAATTAATAACACATCATACAAAATAATACATGAATTGTCTAACACTGTGGTCTCAAACTAGCGGCCCTCAGCACATTTCAATTAAGGTATTGTAAAAATTTCAAGATTTTAGTTATTTGAAGTCAAAGTTAACATTGTTTTCATTTCCATTAAAAACGAACATGAATATCTCACTAGAAAATTTGTAAATGGAGCTAATTAATTTTAAACATAAATATAATCTTATTTAAAGATACAAATTTCATTGACTTTTATTTGTACTTCGCTAAGGTTCCAGCCTAACTGTGCAACAGACGCGAAACAGCAGTACCTCAGACCGTCATGTGAAACCACTGTAAGCAACGGGTAACGTCTTACATTTCATCATTTGGCTCCGGCAGACGTTATTTCATTTGCAAAGAAATTCTCACCAAGAACGAGCGTCGACCTTCACGAAAGAGCGTGGGATCTTGAAAGGGAAAGAAACAGGCGATGACATTGCTCATTCGCAACACTTTCTAATTGGTTGGATAGACTTTGTCATTATAGCGTAGGCGGTCAACGACGTCTGGCTATGATCTCGATTATTTTTATCAAGCAGAGAGACACAATTTAGGATGAAGATTGCTTGATTATTCTGAATATTCTGTCACACTAATATCTAACAGAAACAAATAAATACATTGATTTTAAGCTAGAAAGTAAACAACACAAAAACTGACATTTTGCACCAAGGTAAGGTATTATAATTGATACATAAAGTGCGTTTATACAGTTCTAGAACTAAATATCAACTTTCAATTTAAAACAAAATCGAATGATTCTTGTTCAGAGCAACATTCAAAAGAAATAACATGCCTCTTTTTAGCCACTATACAATCTTAATAAATCTACACAATGTTTGCTTCTTGATTTATTTCTTCCCAGAATTCGTGTTTTGCAATACTCTGGCGGTGTAATAAATCTCTCCGAATGCTATTAAAATAATGACCTTTGATGTAAGATTTTCCTTCAGAAAAGAGTAAGCAGTCTTCACCTCCCAAATCTGGGGGAATGGTTGAAAAATGTGATATCTTTCTTCGCTGGAAACCAAATTTTTCAATATTCTCATCCGTTTGGGACAGCGAATTGCCTCATCGTCATCATCATGTTCGCGTCTAGTAAAGAAAATAATAGTAAAAAAAGAAAAACACTAGCCCACTAAATAGTGTAAATAAATGGTTGATTCTTGCATACTTCGCGCAATATTTCAAATGTAGCTGCTTTTCGAATGATACAAGGATGTTTATTAGATCAAAGCAAACGATGAACGAAAATTCTTGCTAAGCTGATGATATTTTAGAAAAAACAAGTTTAGATATCATCATAATAAATATTGTTAATTATCGCTTTCCCGAATTGCTAGAATTTGTAAAAAAAAATTGGCCCTCATACTTTGCGGACGCACCAAATATAGAGAACTTCGAAAATTAACCTTTTTGATATTAAACCATTAACAATATGTTACTTAAAATGCATGTCTGCTATGTTGAATGTACACATTTATGGAATTCGCATAAAATATGCGAATACATAAATAATATTCGCATAAATATACTGAATCTTAGGATTTTGTTCATATTGGAAATATGAACTTAAACCGGATTAAGGCAAAGCAAGCAAAAGCTATCTTACTTAGGGGAGTGGTGCACTCGGGGCGATCTTTTTTACGGAAAACTACTTCCTACGTTACACAATGGGAAAATTACAAAAACAAAACAAAAGCACCAAAGAAAAAACTGTTATGTACACAGCCAGTTCACTGTGATTTGAATCCGAGTCGAACTACTTAAGTTCAGCAGTTTCACCGTTTGACTTCTGGCTGGCCATAACCTGAACTTAAAACATTCAAACTTTGAAAACCTGCTGTAGGGAAAATTAACAGATTGATTTTCGTATTAGTTTCTCTCAGGAATACAAACTACTGTGCAAAATTTTACGCAACAAATTCATTTTCCAGCATACATCTGTGAAATTATTGAAAAAAGGCTTTTTGCGATCAGCACAATGAAAAGCCAGCTCAGTAGAATGATGATTGAATATGCAGATATCAGCATCATGATGTCAAAGTGTACGTCAGAGCACGGAAAACGCTAGGAGTAAGCGCGCGAATGGAAGGAACTTAAAAAGATTAACGGAAAGCGCATTTCCAGCCATTCTTCTGCAAATGAAAGTGAGATTACACCTGCAGTTATGGTTACAAGAAAGCATCAGGACATCTTTACACATGGTAGAATAATTGGTAAGCTTGAAGAGAGGTGTATTTTGATATCTGTTGGCCAAGAGTTTAGAATCGGTAAAACTCTTGTGTCACGAGCCTGGAAAGCCTTCCAAACGGCTGGAGAAACGTTGGTGGTTGTCCGCCAAGGAATACAACGGTGACTGATGACAGATATATCACGCTGCAGGTGAAAAGAGATCGAAACCAGACAGCGGGCAACATTGCTCTGCAGCTGCGCACGGCAACCAAACAACAGATGTCCCGGTTAACTGTGTTCAAACAACTTCATTAAGGTGGCCTACTTGCCCGCCGTCCAAAATGCTGACCACTGACAGCAGCCCATGGAGCACCGTTTACAGTGGCGTAGAGAACACAAAGACTGGACATCTCATCAATAAAGATACGTCTTCTTTACCGATGAGAGTCGCTTCAGTCTGGCAACACCAGTTGTTATGGACAGAGGTACGGACATGCTTTCATACCATTAAAAACATCAGGGAAAGAGACCGTTGGGGTAGTCCTGGCGTGCTTGTCTGGGGAGGCATTATGATGAACGGCCGGACGAAACTCCACATTTTCGACAGAGATTCACTTATTGGAAATCGTTACGGTGATCCTACCCCACGTGCATCTTTTCAGAGGCGCCACTGGCACCGACTTTGTTTTTACGGATGAGAGTGCGCGGCCACACAGAAGTCACGCTATTAAGGAGCTCCTGGAAAGTAAAAACACCCCACAGAATGGATTAGCCAGTGTGCTACCCTGATTTAAATCCAACTGAACATGTGTGGTAGACGCCTTGGCAGCACGATTTCATTCTCCAGAGAATACCAGAGAACTGAAACAGATGCTTCTTGAAGAATGGGAACTCTTTTATTCCAAGAACTGTTAACTATCTAGCGTTGAGTATCGACAGACGGTGCAACGCAATTAGAGGAGGTCATACCCTTACCCTTTACTTTGCTGTTTTCCTCTAGGCCAGACAGTAAAAATTGCTTAAGATCAGAAGTTGCTTAAGTTTTATTCATTAGAATAGTTTCAACAGTTTAAAGATTAAATATAAAAACAGAGTTTAATATGTTAAATACGAACTTCTTGTAATCAAAATAATTCTCTAAAAGTCAGGACCATTGTTAGGGATCTAATACTTATTTTCTTTCTTATATAGAATAATACATTATATAAATAAAAATTTAAGAAGTAAAAGTTATAATTTTAGATACAAAGTATAAAAGTTTAAACTTAAATAGAAATTTAAAGTTTAAATTTAAATAGAAAGAAATGGAGGATTTAAAAGCAAAGTAAGTACACATTTCGCTCAATCACAAAAACTCTTTTTTTTCGAAAAAGAAGTAAACTAAAAAAATTGTTAGGAAGCTCGGAACATGACTTTAAAAAGTTCGTAAATTCCAAATAACTATAAGATGAAACAAAACAGCTAAACAAACAAACATAAAAAGAACATTCCTTTCAAGTACTCATTTAGCTTAAGAAACGTGCCTGTATTCGAAACTTATAAAGTCATTTTCATAACAAAAAACCTTGAAAAAGGCCTAACTCAAAATAAAGAAACTGGCGTGCTTCCAAATCCCTTTTTTGTGCTACTCTTTCCAACATTTTTTTTTTTTTCTTCCCCCCCCCCCCAAGGGAAACAAAGTTGAATTTGGTCGTCTGCCAATATTTTACGTTTGATACCAAAATATTGCGAAGAACGTGCCAAGGGCTTCACGCTCTGATTCGCGCGAAATTGTGGCCTAAAACAAACATTTTTGCTTTTGTTTTTAGCGAATGCTTTTGACCCTCTTAAAGTGAAAAGTGAAACTACTTAATAATCTAATGAAGTTTAAAAAAAAAAAAAAAAAAAAAAAAAAAAAAAAAAAAACCTGCTCTTAACGATGAGTTTAGCAAGTATTTATCTGAACATCAACCTTTTAGCTCTCTCCGATTCGTTAATAAACGTTGAGCAAGTTATAGGCTGCTAATTTATTTTTTTCATTACTAAAGCATGCTTTTGTAGATTCACGTCACGATACACAAAATAATGCAGCAAAGGTGACTAGAAAGAAATGTTATCATAATGAAAATTTTAGACAAATTACGTTAAAATTCGAAGGAGAAACACAGTTTTATTATATTACCATTATCTGCCGTTGTTATTTTTAAATTCTCTTACAAAATGTTAAAAAAATCTCGATATTAAAAATATTACGTTTTTTAT